GGTGTGGCAGCACACATGCCCATTTTAAAATCTCTTGTCTTAAACATCTATTAAAATCTGTTTGATTTTTTTGAAGCATGGGTATTATAAGTGGATCCAACATTTTTCGTAATTTCTCCTATAATGAGGTCAGAGATTTTATATTTGTATAATACTTTAATGTGATATTATCATTATACGTATACACGTATTTTAAATTTCTTTTAAGCAATATCTTAAGGTCACCGAGATAACATTTATGTTGCAGAGGATATTTAAAATACGTCTTTTAGATGTCTTATGTCCAAAAAATGTCTAAAAGATGTTTTTTAGATATTTTATGCAACATGCATGTTATTTTGTCTGATTAATGGTAATGTATGTTTAACTATCAAAATATCAATAAAATTAAAATTATGTGTTTATGATAAATGCGCTGTCTTAGTTTTTATTTTAAAATAAAGATCTTAAAATGTATACATTTATACTTTATCGATCAAGTACAATTTATTCTTTTAGAAATTATTGTACTCAATAGTTATTGATAGAAAAACAGTGATTTATTATGTTTAATATTATTTATTAATACACTACGCAACAGAATTAAAGTATCACTAAAATTGGCGCAAGAAACCAAATTATAAAATAATAAATAATAATAATATTAAGACTAATGAGAGTCAGCGCGGAAATAGATATTCATAAGTGTTAATTCATATAAAATATACTTTGAAACATTGATTGTTGAATGTATAACTTGCTGAGAATGTCTTCAAAGAGAGTGAAAATGTTCAAGATTTCGTAATAAAGTTATACATTACTTATTATTTTGAAGTATTTTATATGAATTAATACTTATGTTTATCTATTTCCACGCTGACTCTCATTAGTCTTAATCTTTTTGTTATTTACTATAGTTTGAGAGATTTAAATCAATTTTATTATAATCAAATTCAAAGTTACTTTACAAAGAATGATATTTTTAAAAAAGTGTTTTAAATTCTTCAATTTCAACTTTTAAATGCTTCAAATCCCACAAAAATGACAAGTAAACAATATTAAATCTTATAGAATCGTACATATGAGAATATATTGGAAATAAATGCCTTAAACGGTTTAGTTGGATCTTAAGTGCTTGTGTAATTTTATGTGAATTCATGTAGTACATAGTCCTCTAAATTGGGCGCAAAAATAATTTTTCGATCTTGAAATACAAATTCTTTTTTTAAATTGTCAAAAATTTGTAAAATTATTGTGAATTCATTATCGTGAACTTATCACGGGTTATCGCGGTATTATTGTTGAATGATGACTACAACACTGAGAAAAATGCCTAGTTCTTTTGACCAGAATAAACCAGTTCTAGTGTCTTCTCCGATAAATTTCGATCGGATTCAGGATTATTTAATGAAATAAAAAACACTTTTATCTGATAAAATGTAATTTTCCGATTACATGTGAATAGAATACGAACCGTCATTTGTCTATCCCTTAAAATTTCATCGGATGAACTACGACTTGGTCGGATATTAGATTTAGAATGTATAAAAAGAGAGCATTTTATTTGATATTTAAATATAGTATATTCGATTTAATGAAATATCTGATGAAAAAATAATTAATTAGATCAACTATAGAATCGAGTGTTATGTGCACCTAAAGGAAACATTTTGATATATTTAGCATACTCAAGAATAAAAAAATCTTATACATGCTATATGATAGATTTGTTGATGTTATGTTGTTATTTTATTAGTATTGAAATTGATTATTTTAACGCAATTGTTGAAATGGCGTGTGCTTTTATTACCCGTCCAGTGCTCGTATTATTTTCTGAATAGCCTAATATGGGCATCCTTAGGGATAATATAAGCACAGGAAATTTTGCGTAAAAATTACATTACTCGTAAAGAAATGTAACATTGTTACTCATATTATTAAAAAAAGTAACAAAAACGATAATAGCATTAGAAGTAACGCATTACTTTCAACCCTGAATTCAAAATAATATATTGTTTAGGTCTTTGCCAATAACTAATAGTTTACATTAAATATCAACTGAACATTACCTTAATAATATCGATGTATTTAATTTCGTTTTTCGAATATGGAAATATATTGGATATATATTCAAATACTTTAAACATTGGATACCACACTATGAAATTTGTCTCTTGTGATAAGAATTGCGTGAGGTTCCAAAATACAGATACGTCGAGCTGACGTTCCATCATCAAATGAAACGCGTCATCAATAATTTTAGCACGATTGATGACACTTATTTCTTTATATTCTCCAGCTGTAGAATTTAAATAATGTACAATTGCGTGCCAGCCTTTTAAATCATATTTTACACGATAATATCCTATTTAAAGAAAAAAATTGTATCGTAAGTATTATAAAATTTTATTGTACTTTATTATATAAATTTTAGGAAAAGAAACAGAGCAAATCCTGTCGATATCATCTAGCACTAGACTAGATCAGCAGATTCAACTCTGACATGATTTGACCTCAGATGTTGACAGAAACCCAGCAGATTCTACTGATATTTATAATAAATTTTAAGCCCTTAAAACATATTTACCTGCTCGCTGAATGTTGACTATCCAAACATATGCCCCATCAATTTGTTGTTGTACAGTAAAAGAGGGTAAATCCGGTGTTAAACATGTTGTGAAGTTCAGTATGATCTGCTTTAAGTTATTGGTGCTTAAATTTATAGGTATCCACCATTTTCCATAACTGGTTGAATTGTATTTTATTTGCGACAATCTTCGTTCGAAAGGATCTTCTTGCTCCAAGCTTACAATAGGATAATGCTTATACTGTATCCAAGTTAAGAATGTATTTGATGGTATATAACATTTAAATGCAATTCGAGTTTCCATGTCTTTTTGCATCGTCCAAAAATCACTGATATGAAAAGAATTTACTGAGCTATATGTGCTAAATAAAAATATTTATTGTTAGTGATCAGAATAATGGATTGTACGTAAATATGGAATTATAACTTAACTGTACATATAACTTTTACATATAAAATATATACATGGAACTCTGCAATGTATTATATTCCATTTTTAAATTTTAGATATATTACTGATCATATTATATACATTATAATTTGTAATACAATTTGTAAAAATTTTCAATTTTATTTAAACTCTTATGGCTTCTGCACACAGAACGCAGCAACGCGGCGACATCCACCCAACCACCCACCCACCCACCCAACCACCCCCCCCCCCCCCCCCGCAACCCATCAGCCCCTACCCGCCCGCCACTTTGTGTGGCGTCCAAGGGGTGAGAAAGAGGCAAGGGGTATAGAGGCGAACGCGGGGGCAGTAGAAGGGCGCCAGGCAACCCTCCTAACTCTGGCCCCCGGGGGGGTGAACGTGGGCTGGCTCACTGCGAGTAAATGGGGCTAAAGGGGGTGGTGGTGGGGAGGGG